ATTTATAAACAGGGGGTTTGGCGGGTGCATGGAATCACTTTTGGGTCTTTGTTTGGCCGCCGGGCTGGCTGCTTCAGCCCGTCCTCCAAACAAAGACCCAAAAGTGATTCCATCCACCCACCAAACCCCCTGTTTATGAATGAAAAACAGTTTACACACACGACTCACAACTGATTTCATTCGGAATACTGATTGGAATACTTTCACACTCAATTCTCGCCACAGATCTCTTTCTCAAACTTAATTGATTTGATATATGCTGATGTGTTTTTGTGCGGCCTGAAGGTAAATAAAAACTGAAACGTTCTGGAATAATTTGAATTTCGGCGTGTAGTCACGAGTCAAAATGCATCATACTTTTCTCAATTAAAAAATAAAAAAATACGTAATTAACATTATTTCATCAATTTTACTCACATTTATTAACACAACTTGGCAACATGTGTTTTGCTGTTGCTGTGAACGTTAAATACAATATTGGTACTATTGCTAAAGGTTACTTTATAAATATCACCGATTTGTTAAAAATAACTTATAAATCAATTTAACAATTCAAATACGTTCTAACTTGTAGTTTAGGTGTAAGTGTTGCCACATTACACTTCCAAATAAATCTCTTAATTATGTTAATTATTTAGCTGTATATATTGTTGAGTGTTAATCTGAAAATTCTCTGTATCATGTATAAAATTTATGCATTTTATATACTAATAATATTGAGCACACTATTGCCATACATATATATATATATATATATATATATATATATATATATATATATATATATATATATATATATATATATATATATATATATATATATATATATATATATATATATATATATATATATATATATATATTTATATATATATATATTTTATATATATAATTCTAACACGAATTTTCTCGATCTTTCGTACGTTTCTTTTCACTGTTGGTGGTAATTCAAAAATCAATTCTCCAAAATTCATTTTTATTTTTATTTTCTAGACTAGAAATAAAAATGAATTTTGGAGAATTGATTTTTGAATTACCACCAACAGTGAAAAGAAACGTACGAAAGATCGAGAAAATTCGTGTTAGAATTATTAATCTTACTTTTTCGGTCATATTTAATAATATATATATATATATATATATATATATATATATATATATATATATATATATATATATATATATATATATATATAATAAATATATATATATATATATATATATATATATATATATATATATATATATATATATATATATATATATATATATATATATATATATATATGTCGTACCTAGTAGTCAGAACGCACTCCTCAGCCTACTATGCAAGGCCCGATTTGCCTAATAAGCCAAGTTTTCATGAATTAATTGTTTTTCGACTACCTAACCTACCTAACCTAACCTAACCTAACTATTTCGGCTACCTAACCTAACCTAACCTATAAAGATAGTTTAGGTTAGGTTAGGTAGGGTTGGTTAGGTTCGGTCATATATCTACGCTAATTTTAACTCCAATAAAAAAAATTGACCTCATACATAATGAAATGGGTAGCTTTATCATTTCATAAGAAAAAAATTAGAGAAAATATGTTAATTCAGGAAAACTTGGCTTATTAGGCAAATTGGGCCTTGCATAGTAGGCCGAGAAGTGCGTTCTGGCTAATAGGTACGACATATATATATATATATATATATATATATATATATATATATATATATATATATATATATATATATATATATATGAATGAAAACTCACACCCCAGAAGTGACTCGAACCCATACTCCCAGAAGCAACGCAACTGGTAACTACAGGGCGCCTTAATCCGCTTGACCATCACGGCCGTCAAAAGGAAGTGATAGCCGAGGCTATTTGAGCCACTTCCCCGACGGCAACTCGGATGGTAATCTTGGGCATAGCATTTCACCAAATCACCTCATTCTTTGGGGCACACGTGAGGAACACAAATGCGAACAAGCCTGAATGGTCCCCAGGACTATATGCGAATGAAAACTCACACCCCAGAAGTGACTCGAACCCATACTCCCAGAAGCAACGCAACTGGGAGTATGGGTTCGAGTCACTTCTGGGGTGTGAGTTTTCATTCGCATATAGTCCTGGGGACCATTCAGGCTTGTTCGCATTTGTGTTCCTCACGTGTGCCCCAAAGAATGAGGTGATTTGGTGAAATGCTATGCCCAAGATTACCATCCGAGTTGCCGTCGGGGAAGTGGCTCAAATAGCCTCGGCTATCACTTCCTTTTGACGGCCGTGATGGTCAAGCGGATTAAGGCGCCCTGTAGTTACCAGTTGCGTTGCTTCTGGGAGTATGGGTTCGAGTCACTTCTGGGGTGTGAGTTTTCATTCGCATATAGTCCTGGGGACCATTCAGGCTTGTTCGCATATATATATATATATATATATATATATATATATATATATATATATATATATATATATATGCGCAACTATATCATGACTACATTTACGTGATTTACCCGAACCCGAGGGTCTCTAACACCAGTAGACTTAAACGAGAACAGGAAGCCGGCGGCTTGTCGAAAGTCCCACCGATTTGTTCTAGGTCTTGGGTGCCAAGGACAAGGGGCAGTTCCTAGCTACAAGGACCGCCGAGAATCAGAGACCTTGCTGGAAGCGACGTGTTCGCTCTAGCGACCAGTTCACGCGGCTGGTTTACCAGCACATATACTCGCTCCAAACTGTCCACACCTGACAGGGGTGTCCGGGACGACGAGCCTCCAGTAACAAGGCTGGCTGAGGTGTGCACACTTTCCCCAAGCTTCCAGTCACATGTTATACACACACACACACCTGCCTTTACATATAACTAATATAACATAACTCACGAATATATTTAAGCAATACAAGAGGCAGGACTCCTGTCTGGAGCCTGTGATGGCGGGACATGGCTTCACTGAAGCACTGTCTCTTAATTTGTATTTTATACTAGACAGTGATGCCCCGGCGGTGCCCGGGTTGACCTGGTGGTGCCATTTAACTGTCTGTCAGTCTATCTGTCTTTCCGCACATGTCGATCACAAAAGAGTGTGTCATTAAGTGACAGGAGTCCGCTAGGATGCAAATCTCTCCATAATATTTTAAACTGAACCAATTTCGGAAAAAAAAATATTTGACTCTGGGAGAGTTATGGGGGTCGCAATGTACTCCTACTTCTCTTAAAAACGGGAAATAGGGCTGACCACTGATTAGCCTATGATAGTCCTCTACCACCCTCCTTCCCCCCCAACCCCTTCCCACAATTCAGCCTGTACAGTTGGGTGATTCTAGCTCCTGGCCTCCGACTTTGGATATAAATTTTCTTTTAGAGGCATAGAACTGTGGGTTGTGTTATTTGTGCCGACCAAGTTATTATGACATTCTCTGCATACGTAACTTCCCTATAACTCCCTTATAACTTCCCTACAACTTCCGTATCACTCCCCTATAACTTCCCTATAACTTCCCTATAACTCCCCCTATAACTCTCCTATAACTCCCCTATAACTTCCCTATAACTCCCCTTATAACTCCCGCTATAACTTGCCTATACCTCCCCTATAACTTTCCTATAACCCCCCCTATAACTCCCCTATAACTTCCCTATAACTTCCCTATAACTCCCCTATAACTTCCATATAACTCCCCTATAACTTCCCTACAACTTCCCTATAACTTCCCTATCTAAACAAAAATAATAATAATAATAATAATAATAATAATAATAATAATAATAATAATAATAATAATAATAACAAGAACAATAATAATAATACCTGTCACAATAGCACAAATACATTTAGGACAAAATAGTGCAGGACACATTAGAGTGTAGCAGACACTAGAGTGAAGGACATAAAAGAGTATACGATATACTAGAGTGTAGGACATACACCAGAGTGTAGGACACATACACCACAGTGTAGGACACATACACCAGTGTAGGACACACAGTGGTGTGTCTTACACTCACGTGGTACTGTGTCCGGGTCACAGTTGACACAGTACCACATAAGAGACTAGTGCTCAAGCTGGAGATGCAGGCAGGAGTGAAAGGGAAGGTACTTCATTGGATAAGGGAGTACCTAAGTAACAGGAGACATGCGAGTCACTGTGAGGGGTGAGGTCTTGGAGTGGCGAGACGTTACGAGTGGAGTCCCGCAGGGGTCAGTCCTTGGACCTGTACTGTTTCTGATATATGTAAATGATCTACCAGAGGGTATAGTATCGTTCCTCTCATTGGGTGGAAACAGGAGGCCAGGATACGGAACGGGAGATGAAGTCCTTCAGGAAATGGACAGAGAGAAAGATCTAGGGGTTGATATCACGCCAAACCTGTCTCCTGAAGCCCACATAAAAATAATAACATCAGCGGCGTATGTAAGGCTGGCTAACATCAGAATTGCCTTCAGGAACCTGTGTAAGAAATCCTTCAGAACCTTGTATACCACATATGTAAGACCGATCCTGGAGTATGCGGCCCCAGAATGGAGCCCGTACCTTGTCAAGCACAAGACGAAGCTGGAAAAAGTTCAGAGGTATGCCACTAGGCTAGTCCCAGAACTAAGAGGCATGAGTTACGAGGAAAGGCTGCGCAAAATGCACTTCACGTCGCTGGAAGACAGGAAAGCTCTGGGAGATATGATGACTACCTACAAAATTCTCAGAGGAATTGACAGGGTAGATAAAGATAAACTGTTTAACACGGGAGGAAAGCGAACAAGGGGACACAGGTGGAAACTGAGTATCCAAATGAGCCACAGGGACGTTAGAAAGAAATTTGTTAGTGTCAGAGTAGTAATAGATGGAATGCATTAGGCAGTGATGTGGTGGAGGCAGACTCCATACACAGCTTCAAATGTAGAAATGATACAGCTCAGTAGGCTCAGGAATCTGTATACCAGTTGATTGAGAGTTGAGAGGCGGGACTAAAGCGCCAGAGCTCAACCCCCGCAAGCCCAACTAGGTGAATCTCAAACAAAACACACACGCACAAACATTATACACAAAGAACAACCAAGTGAAGAAGTAGGTTTAAAATATTATGTAGTGAACTTGCATCCTCTTGTGGTGAATATGACCGGACACAATAGTGGAGAGTTTTATCCACATTCTTATGAGAGGTCTGGAGCTGTTAGTGGTAACTGTCCATGTTACCTGGGTGATGACCAGTCCATCCTGTCTTGTTGATGACCTCCAGTGGTGTGTGTGGTCGTGTTGATGACCTCCAGTGGTGTGTGTGGTCGTGTTGATGACCACCAGTGGTGTGGTGTGGTCCTCGTCACAGTCATCAAGTGGTCATCAACGATAGTTTGTTGTGAGCCCCATATTCATCCTGTGAACAGCTGGTACACTAGGCTCCCCATCCTGTGAACAGCTGGTACACTAGGCTCCACATCCTGTGAACAGCTGGTACACTAGGCTCCCCATCCTGTGAAGAGCTGGTACACTAGGCTCCCCATCCTGTGAAGAGCTGGTACACTAGGCTCCACATCCTGTGAACAGCTGGTACACTAGGCTCCACATCCTGTGAACAGCTGGTATACTAGGCTCCACATCCTGTGAACAGCAAATATATTAGACAAGGCACAAAAGGTTTCGGAGTGGGTAAAAAGTGTAATATTCAGTTTAACAATGACTATGTACACTGTATATATGATTATACCTACATCTGGTAACCGAACACTGCAAGCGGTGTATAATATAACGTATGATTATACAATATTATACACTAGAGTCCAGGCAGTTAAGTAATATTTAATACAATTTTAACCGCTGGTGTATTGGTAACAAGAATTGTTTCTGTCAGCTGTTTATACCACTACCGGGGGTACTGGTATGGTAACTGTTTACACCAGTACTGGGGTACTAAGTGTGTTAGCTGTTTACATCAGTACCGGGGTACTAGTGGGTTAGCTGTTTACACCAGTACCGGGGTACTGGTGTGTTAGCTGTTTACACCAGTACCGGGGTACTGGTGTGTTAGCTGTTTACACCAGTACCGGGGTACTGGTGTGTTAGCTGTTTACATCAGTACCGGGGTACTGGTAGTAGCATAAACAGCATGTTATGATTGTGAGAGACACCACAATATTCACACGCACCAGGTACCGCAGGAGACTCGGTCCGATTGAGCCCGCGCATCGCCCCTGTACATCTTTTCTCAATCTTTGGCGGCTGTGTTTATAATTATTAAACAGTTAATGAGCTGCGAAGCACCAGCAGGCTGTTTATAGCCATAACAACAGTTACCTGACAAGTTTTCATGTTTGTAAACTGTTTATTAAGAAGTGTAAACAGTGATGTCTCTAGTTCCTTCCATTCTGCGTATAGTTGGTGGTATTCGGTTGATATGCGCGCGCACTGTTGATATGTATATATATATATATATATATATATATATATATATATATATATATATATATATATATATATATATCCTCAGGTTTCTCTGATCGACTCCAAGAGTGGAAGAGACTCGATCCTGTCAACCCGGGGCCCATTTTCATTACTATGTTTATGCGAGTGATGGATTTTCCTGGGAGCTAGGAGCGTGCTAGGGGTGGCTGAGCGCCCCTAGGACACACAAGTGGTGCGTGTAGGCACAAAGCTCGACCTATTCTCTCCTATCCCATGGGGAGGGATGGCTAGGTATATACCAAGTGGGAGGTGGGTGAAAACTTCACTGGCCTGGGCCTGGAGCAGTAGAGACATGCTTACTACATTCAAAATACTGAATTAATCCCGCTCAGCCTGCCACCCATACTGCATGCCATAGAACACCATCCACTCAGCCTGCCACTCACCCAGCCACCCTGTCAGCCAACAACCCAGCCAGTCACCCACTCAGTCAGCCAGCTACCCAGCCAGAAAGCCATCCATCCAGCCAGCCAACCACCTACCCAGCTAGCCAGGCACCCAAAGCCAGCCAGCCAACCACCCAGCCAGCCAGCCAGCCAGTCAGTCAGCCAGCCAGCCAGTCCGCCAGTCAGTCAGTCAGTCAGCCAGCCAGCCAACCAACCACCCAGCCAGGGAGCCAGCCAGTCAGTCAGCCAGCCAGTCAGCCAGCCAGCCAGCCCGCCAGCCAGCCAGCCAGCCCGCCAATCAGCCAGCCAGTCAGCTAGCCAACCACCCAGCCAGCCAGCCACCCAACCAGCCAGCCAGCCAGCCAGCCTGCCACCCAACCAGCCAGCCAGCCAGCCAGCCTGCCACCCAACCAGCCAGCCAGCCAGCCAGCCTGCCACCCAACCAGCCAGCCAGCCAGCCAGCCAGCCACCCAATCAGCCAGCCAGCCTGCCACCCAACCAGCCAGCCAACCAGCCAGCCAGCCAACCACCCAGCCAGCCAGCCAGCCAGCCAGCCTGCCACCCAACCAGCCAGCCAGCCAGCCAGCCAGCCAGCCAGCCAGCCACCCAATCAGCCAGCCAGCCTGCCACCCAACCAGCCAGCCAACCAGCCAGCTAGCCAACCACCCAGCCCGCCAGCCAATCAGCCAGCCAGCCAGCTAGCCAACCACCCAGCCAGCCAGCCACCCAACCAGCCAGCCAGCCAGCCAGCCTGCCACCCAACCAGCCAGCCAGCCAGCCAGCCAGCCACCCAATCAGCCAGCCAGCCTGCCACCCAACCAGCCAGCCAACCAGCCAGCTAGCCAACCACCCAGCCAGCCAGCCACCCAACCAGCCAGCCAGCCAGCCAGCCAGCCTGCCACCCAACCAGCCAGCCAGCCTGCCACCCAACCAGCCAGCCAACCAGCCAGCTAGCCAACCACCCAGCCAGCCAACCAGCCAGCCAGCCAGCCTGCCACCCAACCAGCCAGCCAGCCTGCTAGTCAGCCAGCCAGCCAGCCTGCTAGTCAGCCAGCCAGCCAGCCTGCTAGTCAGCCATCCAGCCACCCAACCAGCCAACCAGCCAGCCTGCCACCCTTCCAGCCTGCCAGACTCCTCACTGCTAATATCGAGTGCATTATACACGGTTGATGGCATCGTCTTCCTGCTGTTGCTGTTACTGCTGTTGCTGCTCCAGTTGCTGCTGCTACTGCTGCTGCTGCTGCTGCTGCTGCTGATGCTGTTGTTGCTGTTGTCATTCCTTTACCTATAGTTGATGTCTTTGCTGGTACGGTTGCCGTCAAGCAGCAGCAGCCATTAGAGCCCAATTGTTTGGTTCCTCTGTGACCCTTCCGCGCGCCCGCCCCCCCCCCACCGTACACCAGAGGCCAGCTGGTCTTGTAGCAGGAACCATGGTGGCAGCTGGTCTAGCAGGCAGGAACCATGGTGGCAGCTGGTCTAGCAGGCAGGAACCATGGTGGCAGCTGGTCTAGCAGGCAGGAACCATGGTGGCAGCTGGTCTAGCAGGCAGGAACCATGGTGGCAGCTGGTCTAGCAGGCAGGAACCATGGTGGCAGCTGGTCTAGCAGGCAGGAACCATAGAGGCAGCTGGTCTAGCAGGCAGGAACCATGGTGGCAGCTGGTCTAGCAGGCAGGAACCATAGAGGCAGCTGGTCTAGCAGGCAGGAACCATGGTGGCAGCTGGTCTTGTAGCAGGAACCATGGTGGCAGCTGGTCTAGCAGGCAGGAACCATGGTGGCAGCTGGTCTAGCAGGCAGGAACCATGGTGGCAGCTGGTCTAGCAGGCAGGAACCATGGTGGCAGCTGGTCTAGCAGGCAGGAACCATGGTGGCAGCTGGTCTAACAGGCAGGAACCATAGAGGCAGCTGGTCTAGCAGGCAGGAACCATGGTGGCAGCTGGTCTAACAGGCAGGAACCATAGAGGCAGCTGGTCTAGCAGGCAGGAACCATGGTGGCAGCTGGTCTAACAGGCAGGAACCATGGAGGCAGCTGGTCTAGCAGGCAGGAACCATGGTGGCAGCTGGTCTAGCAGGCAGGAACCATGGTGGCAGCTGGTCTAGCAGGCAGGAACCATGGTGGCAGCTGGTCTAGCAGGCAGGAACCATGGTGGCAGCTGGTCTAGCAGGCAGGAACCATGAAGGCAGCTGGTCTAGCAGGCAGGAACCATGGTGGCAGCTGGTCTAGCAGGCAGGAACCATGGTGGCAGCTGGTCTAGCAGGCAGGAACCATGGGGGCAGCTGGTCTAGCAGGCAGGAACCATGGGGGCAGCTGGTCTAGCAGGTAGGAACCATGGTGGCAGCTGGTCTAGCAGGCAGGAACCATGGTGGCAGCTGGTCTAGCAGGCAGGAACCATGAAGGCAGCTGGTCTAGCAGGCAGGAACCATGGTGGCAGCTGGTCTAGCAGCAGGAACCATGGTGGCAGCTGGTCTAGCAGGCAAGAACCATGGGGGCAGCTGGTCTAGCAGGCAGGAACCATGGGGGCAGCTGGTCTAGCAGGTAGGAACCATGGTGGCAGGTGGTCTAGCAGCAGGAGCCATTGTGGCAGCTGGTCTAGCAGGCAGGAGCGGAACTGGCCTCATTAAAGGACAGTTTTCCAGAGGTCAGCCTTTGAGAGCTGGTCGCCAAGGAGCCGACGCCTCGCGAGAGAATTATCATATATTTATTTTACATTTTTTGCGGAGATGTCCCCCACCTTGGGACTATAGTTGTGACGAGGGCAGGCCCTGGTAATATTAATGAGGTCTCTGTGGCTGTGGCTGTGGTGGTGGTGATGATATTGACAGTGGTGGTGTTGGCAGTGGTGGTGCAAATTTACCCCCATCAAATTTATCCTAACAGAACCTAAATTTAACTAAATCTTGCTAAATTAAATTTACCACCATCCAAATTTATCCTAACAGGAAGCCAACTTTGAATTTGCTATATCCTTCCAAAACTGACAGGACCTCCCAGTGATTTCAGTTGAGTTCCGGGTTGGTCAACTCTTGTTCCACCGTGACCGAGTCGGTTAAGGTCTTCGTTATTCTCCTCGGGAGAGCATCAGCGTCAGTCATATGCCTGCCATGTGTCGTTAGTTGTTCTCTCATCCTGAAGTGTTGGTGGTGATTTTGAATTTGAATTTTGAATTTTCGGTTGGAGTAAAGCTGCGCGCGCCTCCTCCCTGCGCCATGTTTGTTTTCTCACCAGAGCTGCCAATTCAATTTTCCGTTTTACGCCCATAAATGACATATAGAACATGTAGAAAGATCTAGATTTGGCATATATGCATCTAAAAATATATTATGTATTACAAATACTCCAGCACAGTTTATGAAAATATTAGATGTTTCAGATTCAGATTCAGATTCAGATGTTTATTCAGGTAAGGTATATACATACAAGTGATGTTACATTAATGGATTGATATATAGATAGAGCTAGTACATACAATGCCTAAAGCCACTATTACGCAATGCGTTTCGGGCAAGAAAACATTAATATCTAGAACTTAATACTAATTGAGCATAAAGAATAAAAAGTGTTGAGAACAAATACAAATAAAGATAAAAAAAGGGGGAACATGACTGAAAAAGCAGCACAAATACAATAGGTTGACAAACAGTGTTGATTAAAAAAAAAAAAGAAAATAACAGACATGGGTTGACAATAGAGGAGTGAGGTAGATTACAGGGAATTTATTAGGTAGTGTTTAGTTTTTATCTTAAACTGGTTGAG